AAAAGATGCTGTTGCGAATAAACAGCAGCATCTGCGCCTAGATCACTTCGAATTTTGACGCATCCAATCCCATTCGACTTCAATTAATTGTGTACATATGGGCACTAAGAGGTTTATAAGTCTTACCAAGACGTGTTCACCAGTACCTGTGGCTATCTCGTTTTCCCTCCCTAATACTATTCAATAGCAACAAGTATTTTCCAGTCACCATGTTAATTCTACTCAAGTTGCCATTTTCACTCATTTTTATAAATTTCCTAGCCTTCAGCTAACTTACTGCTAAGTAATTGAATTTATACCAGCCTATCTGGTGTCCTGTGAGCCATGCTAGTCCAGTTCCCGTTTTTTGACCCACACATCTTAGTAGGCTTCTTTTTGTGCGGGTAACCTTCCATGCAAAGGTAGACAGGTCTCCTTCACATATACGCCACCACACAAGCAAAGCACTTTGTAAAGACCAAACCTGAATAAGCAGAAAATTCTAGAAAAGGTGGCATCCCACTCACGATTTTCTGCACCCAATTTGACTCCTCCTTCATTAAGTAAGATATCCATGATGAATTTGGTCTTCCGATTTATACTATTTATTGACTTTTCACATTTTCTAGGCTCTCGTTTCCTTGCTGCCGAACGACAAAGCAATCACACAGCTATACCTCGTGTTTGTTCGTACAGTTAATCGTTAAATGTGAATTATGCACAGCTCATTAATAAATTCGCCACCATTATGAGTAACTCCTAACATGGATTTATCATTCATCAAAATTTTCCCATGTCTAGCAAATGTTAGCTCTGGATCTTAGACCTTTGCTTTAATTGATAACAAATAAGCAAAATTAGTATATGCATCTTCTAATCCACCTCAACCACATGTATAAAATGAAACGTTTTTACGTTTTGAACATATACGCATCTGGAGGCTTGACACCTCCAGATAAACTTTATGATTCCTCTAAGGCCTTTGATGCCAAGCTTGCAGGTTTGCATGTCATCTAAGGATTGAATCATTTTCCTGTTTCGTAAGTAGGCTCTTCGAAACTACCACTAAGCCTGATATAAGAGCTATAATCATCCCAACTCCCTTAAGGTGATGAAGGACGGATAATTGCATTTTCCCAGAATGATATAAGTAGACATGACGTTTTCATTGAATTTCACATAGCAAGGCTTTATCAAAAGATATTCGCATCCAGGCTGAACTATACTGCAGTTATGATCTCGCCTATGGCGCATCAGCAACCCCGGAGGGACCCGAACCGTAATAGCACAG